AATGTCATCTTTTTTTCCTTTTTAGTCCCCTTGCTCAGATGATGCATGATGCGCTCAATGCACCTCTGCATATTCTTCAAGCCCTGTATGAGTTGCAAATGAAAAGAACAGATTCTTTGTTCCTGGAAGTTCAGAAGAGGTATTTGCAAGAGTGGGTCCATCCAGCAGAAAAAGAAAGTTATTAGATGTGACTGGTAACCTGGAATCTAATAGGTGCCAAATAGAAATTGTTCCAAGGGTACAATTTGGTTTTCATGTATGAAAAAGAAAGAAAATAAACTCCTACTAAGTCGTATTTATGGAAACAAGTCCTTAACCTCTGAAATATGTTGCACGTTCTTTTCAGTATGGTAACTCCCATATGAAGATCTACTATGTCTTTAAATGCTCCTAAGGGAGAAAGAATGGAGAGCTTATGTGTGGCTTGTAGTAATCAAAGCATGTCCTGGAACCACCGTGTTCTCACAGAGATGAGCAATTTCAGAACATTTAAAACCTCCAAGGAAACCAGTTAACGTGATATGATAGAAACAGGTAGAGTTTAATGACTCTTTGAAAACCAGAAGGTGGAAAGATTTAATTTCCCTTTAATTGCACCAATTTAGTTTGCTTTACTTTTGAAACGCCTTTGTGACTTTTGTTTCTTCTTTTGCCTCTTTGAAGGTTTGATGGAGATGTGATTACAACAGATGAGAGGATCCGAACGCTGGCTCAGAAGTGGCAGCCCAGCAAGCATTTGAGGCTGGAGGAACAGAGTTCAAAAGCAGTAGATACAGATATGGTCATCTTGCCCTGTTTGGTACGTGCATCTCCAAAAAGGAGCAGTTGTGAAATAATTTAGGCATTGAGGTAACTTCAGTCTTGTTTAGTAACTTCAAAGCTGAGGTTTTCTCTTTTAATATGTGAAATAATCTTGTTAATGTTTTATGCCAAAATGAATAAGCACGTACAAGAAGCAAGTATGTCTTCCTTAAGGAAGTATCACAGTATCACAGTATGCTAGAGATTGGAAGGGACCTCGAAAGATCATCTAGTCCAATCCCCCTGCCGGAGCAGGAACACCTAGATAATGTTACACAGGAATGTGTCCAGGCGGGTTTTGAATGTCTCCAGGGAAGGAGATTCCACAACCTCCCTGGGCAGCCTGTTCCAGTGTTCTGTCGCCCTCACTGAGAAGAAGTTTCTTCTCAAGTTTAAGTGGAACCTCTTGTGTTCCAGTTTGTATCCATTACCCCTTGTCCTATCATTGTTTGCCACTGAGTAGAGCCTGGCTCCATCCTCGTGACACTCCCCCTTTATATATTTATATACACTAATAAGGTCACCCCTCAGTCTCCTCTTCTCCAAACTATAGAGACCCAGCTCCCTCAGTCTTTCCTCATAAGGGTGATGCTCCACTCCCTTAATCATCTTCGTTGCTCTGCGCTGGACTCTCTCCAGCAGGTCCCTGTCCTTCTTGAACTGAGGGGCCCAGAACTTGACACAATATTCCAGATATGGTCTCACCAGGGCAGAGTAGAGGGGAAGGAGAACCTCTCTCGACCTACTAAACCACCCCCCTTCTAATACACCCCAGCATGCCATTGGCCTTCTTGGCCACAAGGGCACAGTGTTGGCTCATGGTCATCCTGTCGTCCACTAGGACCCCCAGGTCCCTCTCCCCTACACTGCTCTCTAACAGGTCGTTTCCCAACCTATACTGGAACCTGGGGTTGTTCCTGCCCAGACGCAGGACTCTACACTTGCCCTTGTTATATTTCATCAAGTTATTCCCTGCCCAACCCTGCCTGTCCAGGTCTCGCTGGATGGCAGCACAGCCTTCTGGCGCGTCAGCCACTCCTCCCAGCTTAGTGTCATCAGCAAACTTGCTGATAGTACACTCAATTCCCTCATCTAAATCGTTGATGAATATATTAAATAATACTGGTCCCAGTACTGACCCTTGAGGCACTCCACTAGTTACAGGCCTCCAACTAGACTCAGCCCCATAGACTACAACTCTCTGGCTTCTCTCCTTCAGCCAGTTCGCAGTCCACCTCACTACCTGATCATCCAGTCCACACTTCCTCAATTTAGCTGTGAGGATGCTGTGGGAGACTGTGTCAAATGCTTTGCTGAAGTCAAGGTAGACCACATCCACCGCTCTGCCATCATCCATCCACCATGTTATTTCCTCATAAAAGGCTAAGAGATTGGTCAAACATGATTTCCCCTTGGTGAAGCCATGTTGACTGCCCCTCATAACACTCTTATCCTTGATATGCCTTAAGATGGCACCAAGGATAAGGTGTTCCATCACTTTCCCAGGGATGGAGGTGAGGCTGACCGGTCTATAGTTACCCAGGTCCTACTTCTTGCCCTTTTTGAAGACTGGAGTGACATTTGCTTTCCTCCAGTCCTCAGGCACCTCTCCCGTTTCCCAAGACTTGGTAAAGATGATGGAGAGTGGTCTAGCAATGACTTCCGCCAGTTCCCTCAGCACCCGCGGGTGCATCCCATCTGGACCCATGGATTTATGGATGTCCAGATTGCTCAACTGGTCTCTAACCCATTCCTCATCGACTAGGGCAAACCGCTCCATTGACCTGACTTCATCTAAGGTCTCAGGGGTATAGGGCTCTTCAGGACTGCCTGCAGCAGAGCAGACAGAGACAAAGAAGGCATTCAGTAACTCTGCCATCTCTGTATCTTCTGTCACCAGGGCGCCCATCCCGTTCATCAGTGGGCCTACATTGCCTCTGGTGTTAGTTTTATCTGCCATGTATTTGAAAAAGCTCTTTTTGCTGTCCTTGACCCTTCTCGCCAGGTTTAATTCTAAGGAGGCCTTAGTCATCCTAGCTGCCTTCCTACATCCTCTAGCAGCAGCCTTATATTCCTCCCAAGTGGCCAGCCCCTCCTTCCATGACCTGTAAACTCTCCTCTTCCACTTGAGCATACCCAGCAATTCCCTATTTAGCCACGCAGGTCTCTTGGCCCTCTTCCTTGACTTCCTACGTGTCGGGATGCTCCTATCTTGAGCTCGGAAAAAGCAATCCTTGAATGTCAACCAACTATCTTGGGCCCCTTTACCTTCAAACAGCCTTGCCCATGGGATTTCCCCTAGCAATTGCTTGAAAAGGCCAAAGTTTGCCCTGCTAAAGTCCAGGGTTGCAATTCTACTTGGTATTCTACTAGTCCTACCACACAAGATCCTGAACTCCACCATCTCGTGGTCGCTGCAACCAAGGCAGCCCTCAACCCTTACTGCTTCGACCAGATCCTCCTTGTTAGTGAGGATGAGATCCAGCAGCGCTCCTGTCCTGGTCGGCTCATCCACCATTTGCAGGAGGAAGTTATCACCCATACGCTGGAGGAACCTCCTGGACTGTGGCTGGGTTGCTGAGTGGTCCTTCCAGCAAACATCAGGGAAGTTAAAATCCCCCACGACGACCACGGCCTGTGACTGTGAGGCCGCTCTCAGCTGCCTGTAGAAGGCCTCGTCAACTTCCTCACCCTGATCTGGTGGCCTGTAACAGACACCCACAACAGTAACCCCCCTGCCAGCCTGCCCCTTAATTCTCACCCACAGACTCTCAACTCGCTCATCATCTGTCCCTGGACAGAACTCGGTGCATTGTAGCTGCTCTCGCACATAAAGAGCAACCCCACCACCCCTCCTGGCTGGCCTGTCTTTCCTGAAAAGGACATAGCCCTCCATGACTATATTCCATTCATGTGAGCTGTCCCACCACGTCTCTGTAATTGCCACCAGATCATAGTCTCCTGACTTAACATAGGTTTCCAACTCCTGCATATTTCCCATGCTGCGCGCATTGGTGTACAGACATTCCAGGGAGCGAGCTGAGCACACCGATTTCACCCTAGGATTATAGGAGGCCTCCCAGTCTTCATCAATTCTGGAGTGCTGCCCCACTGCGGCAAGCCCAGCTACAACCCCATCCCCCTTCGAATCTAGTTTAAAGCTCTCCAAATGAGCCCTGCTAATTCATGCCCCAGCATCCTTTTGCCTCTGTGAGATAAACCTTTTCCACTTGTCATTGTCCAGAATGGTGCCCTATAAAACCAGCTGTTATCAAAGAATCCAAAGCCCTGCTTGTAGCACCAGTCTCGAAGCCAATCGTTTATGAACTGAATCTTCCCATTCCTTCCCACATCATCAGTGGAAGATGGAAGGAGTGAGGAGAAGATCACTTGAGCCCCAGACTCTTTCACCATCCGCCCCAAGGCCCTGTAGTCTTTCTTCATCCCCCTCAGACTGCGGGAAGCAGCTTCCTCCCCACCTGTCTGGAAGACCAGCATCGGGTAGTAGTCTGTTGGGTGCACCAGGTTGGGAAGTGCCCTGGTGATATCCCTGATCCGGGCTCCAGGCAGACTACACACTTCCCTATGATGAGGGTCAACTCTGCATATCGGGCCCTCTGTTCCTCTCAGATGGGAATCTCCTACTACAATGACCCTTCTTTCTTTCTTATCAGAGGCAGTCTTGAGGTGCAAAATTGACCGCCTTTTCCTACATGGCCTTGCAGGCTGGCCTTGCACCACATCCTCACCCACCTCTCCTTCAAGATCCAGGGCCTCAAACCTATTATGGAGGGACACCTGGGGAAGCAGGGCAGGAAGGGGGGAGGGTTTCCCACGACGCCGAACTGGAAGTAGGAGAACTTGATTCTCAGGTCAGGGGAACAAATTGTGATTGCACGCTGTAATTTCCTCTCTTTATACAAGAGAGAGAGATTTGTCTAATTACTGTAAGCTTATGCCGTGTTACTGTTTTAGCATATTGTTACTTTATAGTAATTTCAGCAGAACAAGGAAGCAATAAGTTAGTCTTGTGAAGTAGACAGTGCACTTGCAAGCTTTAGGTTTCCATTCAATAGCATGGTCCCACAGCTCTTTGCTTTATTTTGGGTGCTTATTCCTTGCCGTGTGGTACCACTTGTCTATCAGTTGCAGAGCATGGCTGCGAAAATTCCACCCCTGGAAATTCTCAAACTTAACTGGACAAAGCCTTAATTTTGAAGTTGTCTCAGGTTTAAGTTGGATTTGGTCGAAATGATCTCCAAAGCTTCCTGCCAGCTTGCCTCATTCTGTGTCAGAAACAGCATGACACTTGCTTTGCCTCTGTAGGTCAGCTTAAAATAACACTTCTGGTTAGAGTTTGAACTGCTGTTTCTGCTCGTGTACAGTCATGAATGCATCAGCGTATAGTGAAGTCTGACATAAACTGTCTTTTAGAGGAATCCTGTCCCTGTAGGTGTGTGTGAGATCACACTTTTCTCTTCTTTGATGCTGTGATTTTCAGTATGTAAAAGGCAGATCCATTTGTAAATTCAGCTTGCAATCTGATGGACTGGTCAGATATCCAAACATAAGGAAGGAAATTGTTGGGAGCCTATTTTCAAACTTCCATTTCTTTTTTCGGTCAAAACCTGCACTCTGTGATAAAGCAACAGAAGAAACCAATCCATTCACCCAGAAACTGATAACCAGCCCAGAGAGTGAGCTACAGCTTAATTATGCCAAGCACCATCGCACTAAGAGTTCAATACTCCTGCACAAGGAGCTGGATTCCAGGAGTAAAAAGGCCGTGAGGGACTACCTGTATCGTGTAAACGAGGCAACTGCTGTTCTTTATGCCAGGCACGTTCTGGTATCGTTTCGAGCTGGCTGGCCAGATGATGTGGCAATAAATGAGGAAATCCTAGCTCTTAGCGGTCCAGCCCATATGACGTACATACTGGACGTGCTTATGCAGCTAGAGGAAAAGCAGTTATGGGAAAAGGTAAGTGGATTTCACTTGTGCGTTTGATCAAGCCCTGTGCCTACATACCACGAGACTGACAAGCAGGAATACTTGCAATTCCTTTTTTAAACTAAATTGAAACAGCAAAAATCTAAGTTAGTTCTGGAAAAGCAGCTGGAATCTGTCAGTGTCTTCATGTGCTGATTTTGTTAACAGAAAATGGAAAAACTAGCTCCATGGAGACAGCTCAGTTGTGAAAGAGCTATATGGGAAAATAAATCTGATAGAGAAATTGGTCAAATAGGCAGTCCATTTTGAAAGATCTCAGTGTGTATATTGTAATACCTGCTACTCTGCTGATGTGCTGATTCTTACCGTGGTGGAAGTGATCTTGGAATTATAATAGAATGTTGTCATGAAAACGTCAGCTCAATGCTTCAACAGCAGTTGAAGCAAATGAAGTGCTGGCAATCTTCAAAGCAGGAGCTAAAGATAAAACAGAAGGCACTGGTATGCCACCAAACCAATAGTATGCTCTCATCTGGAATACAGCATGTGACTTGGCTCCCTCATCTCGCTTAAAGGAAAATGGAAACGCAGTACAACTGGAAGAAGTCTGGAAAAGAGTGGCAGGGATTATTTTAGCCATAGAATAACTTCAGTAGGAAGAACCAACTTGTTTTCTTCATCCTGGATCTTGGCCCCATTTGGCCTTGAGGGAGAAGGAGGAATGAAAAAGTCTGTTCCTCTTTCTCTGTAGTTTTAAAACAATAAGCAGCATACAAAAGTTAACAGCAGCTATTATTCACTGGCCCTCCCAGTAAGAAAACAAAGGAGTGAAGGCAATAAGTGGCAGGTCCAAAACAAACCAAAAGAACTGGTTCTTGACAGGGTATGTCATTGAAATTGTTGCCACAGGGTGTTTATGTAGTTTCAGAAAACATCAGGATGAACTGATAGAATAACAATATGTTGGGGTGTATTAAATACAGAAACCTTTGTGTTAGGCTATTCTGCAAGTGCATGGAGGCAAAGAAGACATTCAGGAACTGTGCTACATACTGCCTTTGCTTTTAAACTCTTTTTCCCAAGAAATCAATTTTTTTGGCTGATGTGGAAGTGAACGTTTGGTCTGAGCTAGTATCACATTTTATAGGAGGAGCTAGAAAAGTGCACATGAAGAGGTGTCATAGGTTACGATAATAAAGGGCCTTGAGCAGCAGGAATCCTAATTCAAAAGCACACCAAAGCTCTGAAAAATCAGAGAAAGTGGAGATTCAGGTTGTTCTTAATTAGCGTTTAGTGTATCCTGATAGGCTAAATGGCATTTGTTTGTATTCTTAAAGACACAGCTCTTGCATCTACTGCTTTCAAACACTGCAGCCAGTGACTGATGGCTTCCTTCTTGTATGTGAAGTTGTACGTTGTGAAAGCTAAAACAGAACATATTTTATTAAAATCAAAACCTGTAAGTAATAGAAGGTAAAGGTGTCTTTAGTATTTAGCTGTTTATCTTCCTTGTTTACAGCTTTAGTTTACTGTTAACTACTCTATGGGTAATCCTTGTTCCTAGCATTTGTGGAAAGAGATGGAGCTAAGAGCTGTCACGTTTTCATTAGATAAGAACCGAAAGATCTGAAACAAAGGGCAGAGTAAAATTTTCTGCACTTATGGAAATAACACTTGTCGACATCATTTGTGATGTCTTGTTTCTTGCTCTTCCAAAATGTTGTGTGGCTAGAAATGGCTCCTGTCAGTCATCAGTATATAAGTTTGTAATAGTTTTGATAGCAAATTGTATTTATATGACGTGTTGCTTCTTCCCAGATTCTACAGAAGGTACTGCATGGGTGCAGTGAGAGCATGCCATGGACAATGGCACTGACAGCTTGCCAGCTCATGGAAGAACCCGGAATGGCAGTGCAGATGCGTGAATCTAAACATCCTTCTAACAGCAATACCAATTTTGAGGTAAGTTAGACTTGTAGTGTAGTACAGTGCATTTGCATGGCTGGAAGAGTTCTAAAACATCAAGGTGGCTGGAGCAGAAATGTCAGTGGTCCACGTGTTTACCTGTGGGACTTTGTGCTTGAAGCACCTGGGAAATACCTGTTCAGTGTTGGTTTTGGAAGGGCTGCTGCTGGATGGGTGAGGCTATCTTATCCTGACACAAACGATTCTTATTTTCTTCTCTTGATATTGTTTGAAAGCCTTTTTTAAATACAGTTCAGTAAATAATTGTTGCCTCTGGGCAGTCTTGGGATTTTTAATTTTTCTGCAGCTCTGACTCTTCTGGTTTTTGTTGTTTAAAATGCATAGAAACCTTTAGGTTGTGGCAGTGGAGATCAGTATCAGCAACAATTACCACTTCTAATAAAACCCTAGCAATTAATTTTACATGCTAAACAGCTAACGCAAACAATAGGCCGTGCTTTACATTTGTTAAATTAGCTCCGGATAAAAATGTTAAAGAGGGTTGTTTGGTTTTTGGGGGATTCTTTTTCTCTATGGATATGCTGTAGTATTTGTTGTTTGTACGGTGAAAGTGAAGTAGCTCTTTGGTAATATAGTATTAAAGGATGCCACGACCATGTAGTTATTTCTCAGGATAAAGTTCACATTGCTGGTGCTATCTACCTCTCCATCAAATTTGACTCTCAGTGTAATACAGAAGAGGGCTGTGATGAGTTGCTCATGTCCAGCAGCAGTGATTTCCAGCAGGATTGACTCAGCTTCTGTGCTTCTCCATAGAAGTGGAATGATTTTGAACTTCCAGGTGAATATGCTGCGTTTCAAAGTGCAGATGCGTAGGCTATTGATGGTGTTTTGGACTCTCGAGAGAAGAGTCTACTTATATGTAGATGTTCCCGAGATGGGTGGGAAGAAAAGACAATCCTTTTCTTGTCCCAGCCTGTTTGCTCTGACGTGCTGCTCTTGCATTTGTTTCTTGAAAGTAGGTTTATCTGCTGTTCTGCTGCTTGAGCTTTTTTTTTCCACCCTTTGGTCAAAGCATGCACTCAGTGACTGGAAACAAATTTTGATCTTGATTCTGTTCCAACACAGTCCTTGTTCTGCCCAACATTCACTGACATTGTTCCTGCTTTGTCTTACTTTCCACAGGAAGCGCATTTGAAAAAGCCCAGAAGATAGGCTTATCTCTTCTCTCTGCTACACACGTGCTCAGGTAAGGAGTGTGTGCCCGTGCCTTTATTCCAGTTGTTGCCACAGAGTGCAACTGAAAAAAAATCACTCAGTTGACTGACAGCTTCAGTCTCTGTTCTCTCCTAAGCCTGTTTTTGATAACACCGTAACAAATGCTGGTGAAGCATTTGAAGGATGAGCAAATCTTTGAGTTGTTTTAACCCACTGAGCACCATGACATTGCAGGAAGCTTTTGACTTCAAGTGCTGTCAGTAGCTGGAAATAGGTGTAGGAGCTCTCTTAGCAGAGCAGTTTGGGTGACAAAGTGCAAGTTATTAACAAACGAGTACACTGTAGAAATACTGTGGATTTTTATGACCTTCTTCTGTCCTTTTCCTTCTGTATAGTTGCAGAGGTTTGCTAAGAAACTGAACTTGGAGGCCCATTGTTTTGGAGCAGCCTTGGCTGTGAAACTTAAGTTTCACCTTGTGAAACTTCATTTCCGGACAAGGCTGTCTGGATTAAGGCTCTTGATTCCCTTCAGCAGGCTTAACTGAAACCAGGCATTTGAAGGCTTCTGGGCATTTCATTTGATGGCAGGGCTTTCTCAAAACTCGTAGGAATAGGAGAGAGCAATGAGTCCATTTTGTGATGAAAAGGGGAAGAAGCTGTTAGATTTTTAGGGGTGTTTTAATTGTAAAAAAAATGGTTTTAAAATGTTTCTTCATGAAACTGCAAATTCTGCTTCTTGGTGAAAACTGGCATGCTTGTCCCAGGCTGACAGGATTTTCCATGGAACAGAAGGCAATTCTGTTTTAACCAGATCTAGTATTGCAGAGCATGACAGGTAAGGCCCTGTTTTGTTTAGCATTCCAGCTAACCACCAGTGTTCCCCTCTGAGAAGCTGGAGATGCTACAATGGCAAGAACTTCTTGAATGTTCCAGTTCCTACAGCAAAATGGTCAAACCTTTTGATAGCTCTTCCACTTTTAATCCAAACCACTTATGGGTTTTGTTCCCTAGAGTGAAAGTGTACCATTTAATTCTCTGACCTGTAAAAGCAGTGCAGCTTTGCTTTCAGTGTTGTTTAACCTTTTGTTTAATGGGCTGTGAATTTGGCTGCCTGTGCAAAGGTTCTTTCTTCATAAATCGTAATTGATCCATAACACAATTGGAAAAGGGAAGCTTAACTGTGTCCAGTGTAGAAGTTCTTTAACTCCTCCTTCCATCTAGCTGACAAAAATGTAAGAGCCATTATCCCTGTATCTTTACACAGTGGAAACCATTCCGTGTTTTACTTCACCCTCCAGCTTAATGATAAGTGTTCTGTGCATTTCAGAATTACCAAAAAGCAAAAGATCACATCTCCTGAATGATGATTTCTAGGATTAATCTGTGACAGACTTTTCATCTGAATTGCATTTGTGGTAGCAAAGCTAACTCAGAAGGTAGTCATGTGGATTTTCTTCCTCCCCTTGTACACAGGTGACACGCCGTATTTGGACAGTGGGAGCTGCTTTTTCTTTCCTGTTACAAGGTGAGCCACAGTTTTGTTTCCTTTGCTGATACTTGTGTTGCCAAAGCAGGCCCAGTGTTCACCTGTCCTTGTTTGTGTGTCAGAGGTGCTCTCCTGACGTCCCTCTCTTGCTGTTGGGTTGCAGAGGCTTGGCATGAGATGGGGACTGCATTTTGGTAGGTGCTGCGGATGTGCAGATGAGATGCAATCTTTCCAAAAAGCTCTCTCAACAGAAGAGAGTGGCACTGAGAGAACAGAAGTAGCATTCTCTCAGCTCTACAGAAAGAGCTGGGTGCTATAACATGTCATGAAACTGTTTCTGTGTTGCATGGAGTGCTAACATGTGTTCCCAACCATCTGGATTTTTTTCAATGTAATTGTGAAAAACTTTTTCTTGTAATAATGCAGTGAAGCTTTTGCCCAAGGAAATGATGTTCCTCTTTGCCACTGGCAGAGCCTTTGCCAGTGCCTGGTGGCAGCATGGGGCTGGATCTGTGCTCCCTGTGTAGGGCTCAGTGTGCCCCAGCTCAGTTGGGCTGGTCCCTGTGAGCCATCAGCAGTGGCCAAACAAGGATGGGTTGGTAGGTTTTAAAGGAAGAGAACTGTTATGTCTCACCTGCTGTGAACAAACATGCAGGAGAAGCCTAGGTGTGAAGCACAAGGCTTTGCTGGCAAAGCGGTTGGTGTGGTTGTGTGCATGGAACTGGGCTGTGTCCCCCTTCAGAGGGTGAAGTGCCGAATTCCTCCATACTTTCTGGCCTGTCATTTTGCAAGTGGGGCTTTGGGTCGCTGCTTAAATCACATTTACCTGGATTTTAGTTGTGATTACCCTATGTCCTGGGTTCAGCAGTAGCAGTCATGTTTCTCCTCCTTGGTAGCTGGTGCAGTGCAGTGTTTTGACTTTCGGCTCGGGAACAGAGCTGATAGAGATGTTTTGGTTTGGCTAAGGACTTTGTGAGCCTCATGCTCTGCCAGGGAGGAGGGGAAGCTGGGAGGAAGCAGAGACAGGACACCTGACCCAAACTGACCAAAGAGGTATTCCATACCACAGCACGTCATGCCCAGGATGTAACTGGGAGTTAGCCGGAAGGGCTGGGGGACTGCAGGGTTGGAGGAGGTATCGGTCAGAGCTTGGTCGGGCTTGGGGGGTGAGTTATCGGTCAGCGGGTGGTGAGGTGTTGTATTCTCTTCCCTTGTTATTTCCTTTATCATTATTATCATTGGTGGTAGCAGTAGTGATCTGTGTTATACCTTAGTTACTAAACTGTTCTTATCTCAACCCATGGGAGTTGCATTCTTTTCGATTCTCCTCTCCATCCCTCCGAGAGCAGGGGGAGGGCAAGAAAGGGGGGGAAGTGAGCGAACGAATTACCTGACTGGGTTTAAAACACGACACCCTAGCAGGGAAGGAAGCAGTAAAAGTGTGACTGCATGGCCCAATGTTCAACTGTAAGGGAGTGCCTTTTGGGCGGAGACAGGCACATCCTTAGTTCTCTTTTGTTTCCTTTGGGAATCAATCTGTATGGTGTGTGGAAGGAAGTTTCCCAAATCAAACAAACGTTGGCAGAACTGTGCAGCAGATGGAGTTGTGTTTTAATGAGCTGCTGTAAAGCTTTCCCTCCAGCCCAGCAGGGATGTTCTAGCTAGGGGAAGCAACCTTCAAGCCCTGGAGCCCTGCAGATGTATTTTTAGAGTTGTGATGTGGGAACTGTTTTATCCATGAGGATTCTGGCTGATGTTGAACTACAGGAAAATGGGATGTTGGTAGGATCATTTAGCCACTTGTATTTCACAGATGTGCAGTACCCTCGCAGAGTGAGGTGGTTGGATAGCAGCCCAAGTCTTCCCTTATTACATGTCTGCATGAATTTGGGTTTTTCAAATGCTGTTGTGTATGACCAAAACTCTCAGCACTGACTTTTCACAGGAAAGAAAGTGCAAGATTCCCCCTGTGGAGGCTGAGCTGCAGGTCTGCTTGAATAGCATCCTTCCTTTGGCTGGCAGCTAGTACCTGCTGCCTCAGCATAACGTGAGGGACCTTCTGTTACTCTGCTGCGTGGGGATGGATGTGTGGATGGAGACTTCCTTCCAGCTGGTTATGGCATAGTCACAGAGTTTTCTGTTCCAGGAGTAAAAGCCTGGCTTCCGAGAGAGCTTCTCAGGGGCCTTCCCCATTTCAGGGACACTTGCTGAAAATACATGCCATGAGATTTGCTCTTGATCAGGACGCTTCCTCTGGCAGTCCTGAGGGGCAAGGGATTGCCAAGATGGCCATCTCTCAGCTGTCACGCTTCAACCGTTGTCTGCTTTTTGCTTCAGGCTTTTGTGCTTAACTGGAGGGGGTCTGGGGCTTGTGTTTCTGTTGACACCAGCAGCTACTTCTAAGGAGGTTTTCTTGCTGTTGGGGTGTTTGCTGGTTCACAGATGACTCAATCCAAGGTTCCAGTATTTGTCGTTGTGCTCACTTGCAAATGCTCCAAGCCATTCTCCGTGTGACTGAGAGCAGTGAGAGTATCCTGTGCTGTGTAAGACTGGCAGGGCCTTTCATCTGTGGGCTGAGCAAACTGCAGCGCTGTCAGCATCTCTTCAGCTGGGTTGTGGCAGGCAGACTTTGTAGCTGGAGCAGGAAGATGCCCACGTGCACTAGCAGGGTTCTCCTCTTGCGTTGTGTTCAGGAGTAGCTGCGTGGAAGTCTGCTCCCTGTCCCGGTTTCTCCCGTCTGTTTAAGTCCTGCAGAAGGCTGTTTTGCAAGGAGCCAAGTGCTGTTCCTGTGGGCAGCCTGATGTCTAATCCAGTTTTCTGAACAAGCCAGGTGGTTCTTGCCTGTGGTGCCAGTGACAGATGAGCCTGAAGTAAGGGCCAAGTTGTCAGCTTTTCTAGCTGTCCTCTTGCCACTGCAGTACTGCTGGAGCTGCTCTAAGGTCTCCCCTTGAGGAGCCTTCTCTTGTGCAGGTGGAACCAGCCCAGCTCTCTCAGCCTGGCTCCAGAGCAGAGCTGCTCCAGCCCTCCCAGCATCTCCATTTCCACCTCTGGACTCGCTCCAGCAGCTCCACGTCCCTCTTGTGCTGTTGCCCCAGAACACAGCAGAGGGGAGAATCCCCTCCCAGAGCTGCTGCTCATGCTCTGAGGTTGCAGTCCAGCACAGGGAGGGGATCTGGGCTCAAGCGCCCACCGAAGCCAGGGCATGGGGGGGTTCTCATAGACCAACATCCCCAAGTGCTTCTTCTCAGGGCTATTTTCAATCCGTTCTCCCCCAGTCCAGAGGAGTCCATGGAGATGTTCTGGGGGGTGGAGCACCTGGTGGGAGCTGCCTCTGTCTGTGGGAGGGGCTTGGAGCTGGATGGGTTTTGAGGTCCCTTCAACCCAAACCACTCTGTGATTCCATGGTTAATATTTTACTGCTGAAGAATCTTGCTGATGAATCATGTCTCAAGAAACGAGCTTTTAAACCGAACAAATGACAGGTACTTTATAGCGCTTCTTTTGAGGGAAGTTCTGCCATGTTATAGAAAGCAATGAAATCCTGCCTAAAAATTCAGCAGAGTGAAAGGAAGTAGAAGATGGAAACAGCTTGGACCATGTTGTGTTACTGGTCATTAGAAAACACCTTCCTGAACAGCCTCCCTGAAAGTGTGAGCCAGAGTTTTATTCAAGATGAGTCAGGAAGGTAATAACCTCTGTCCCTAAATGGTCTACTCTCCTACTTCCTTTTCAAGTGCTTACGAGGAACTGTTTTGCCCTTGAACCTCTGAGTCTCTTGTTTTGTGTTGTTTTGGTTTTTTGGTTGGTTGGATGGTTTTTCTCTTTCTTTTTTCTTCTGGGGCTCCTTTATTTCTGAAATTTTGCTCAGATACACAAGAAATCTGTGGTTTCCTTCGTCACGGCCACAGTTGGTGGGTGGAGTCAAACTGGAAGTGTTTGTATGAACTTCTTGATGTCTTTTTGCATGAAGGAGGCTTGGATGGGCGATAGCCCATTTGTGAACAGAAAAGGTGCTCAGTTGATTTTGGGTGGTTGTTTATTCATATCTCCTTTAATATTTCAAAAGCAGCCATAAGGGGCTGACAGATTACAAGCTTTATGAAATATCAAAGTAACTATTTACACTTTCATGCTTCTTTGTGCAGATGTGAAAGAATAAATACCCATAAAGTCTCAGAAGTGACATTTATCCTGGGCTGAGTCGTGGAAGCGATGTGGTTTTCTCCCCTGACCTGTCCCAGATAACTGGAACTATAGATGCTTGTCACTCCAGGCAATGTATTGTTCCCTCTGGTTTGTGCTCTGTGGAGAGATGAGGTTATTGTGCAGCCATGAAACTCTTGGGCTTCAACCTTTGGGGTCCCACTCAACCTCACATGAGATTCAAACAGCTTGTTTCTTAACATGCCCCGGAGAATGTTACTAAATCACAGAATCACGCAGTGCTTTGGGTTAGAAGGGACTTTAAAGCTCACCTAGTTCCACCCCACCTACCTTCCACTAGCCCAGGCTGCTTGAAGCTGGTTGCTGTGTTAGTAAAACAAGTCCACCTAGTTCCTGGTGTGGTGTTTTATTTATTTATTTAAGTATATTTTCTGTCTTAAATCTAAAACTGAAAGGTCAGAGTCCAATGGGAAGAGGGGTAAAAAGCAGAATTACAGGAATGCAAGAATTAACGTGTGGACACTTGTGTCAGCTTTAAGCTCGGCAGGTCTGTGGCTGAACTGTGCCACAGCGTTTAAACTGTGATGCTTGGATCTAAATGGTTGTAATTCCTTGTCTTGAAACAGAGAGAATGTGAGGTCGAGGAAGGAGGTGTTGGAATGAGCTTGACTCAAGAGAACGCTGGGAGGAAGGAGGAGGGTGGGAAGTGAGAGATGATAACCCCAGCTCTGAGAGAAGCGCTCACAAAACAAGGTGAGGTTCTGCAAAGAGCAGATGGTGGCCCAGGCTTTGAAGTCTTAGTGGTGGACTTTTAGCAAGCCAAGTGAGAGACGGTGTTCTTGGTTAGAGGTACTGCTGTGGACCCTCAGTCATGGCAGGCTCTGAGCAGGGGCAGGACAGGGCTTAGGCAGGGGCTGTTGGTACCTGATCATTTCAGGGAGGAACCTGCAGCTGGGTAATACACCCGAGTGTGATGCACTCTGAGTGTGGTGAGTGTATCAGAGTTCAAAGGGTTTAATGTAGCTGCTAAGCAGCTTGGGAGAGAAGATGATAGTCCCACATGCCTTTAGCTCCTTTAGGGTGTGCGTTCCTCTAAGACTACTTGAAGATCAGCTTTGCCTCTGCTTTTACTTCTGTTTCAGACTCTGATTTTGTTACTGAAACTTTATTTCCAGAGAAGAAGGTAGTTCAAATGAACTTTACCAATCTGCTGCTGATCAGATGAGTGGCCTTCCAACAAGCTGTAGAGAACTTAATGGCCTTTTCAAAACAAAGGAGGACAAGCTTGAGAAGAGCTGGACTGAGGGCCCTGCAGTTCAGAAGCCTCAGTTCTGAGTGGCAGAGGCAGGAGAACGGTGATGGGAGCTTCTGTTCAGCTGGAGACTGAAGGCAGTTCAGTTTAATTTCTTTTATTTCTTAGGATGAGAATGTGTTGAATTTTTCTTGCTTGCTAAATCAATAGAATCTCTCCTGATGCTGCTGAGACCACAGTTCTGCTATTGCACTGGAGGCACCTTGCTTCAGAGCTGGGCTCTGATTTTCTAACTATGTCCTGTGTGAGACCAGCAGCTGTGGGACCCCAACACCTTTGCTCCCCAGGATTGGTCTGAGCTTTCGTCAGTGACTGGTGGTGTGTTTGCCCACGGTCATTGCGTTTTTTTGCACTGGCATTAGTACAGCTATGAAATAAAGAGCCGTTCATTACATTCATAGTGTGAAAGAACAGAGTGAAGGCTTGGCAAGGAGTGGCAGTGACTTTTGTCTCATCTTTGTGTCCATCATGGTGCTGCTGGGACCAGTGGAGAGGTTATAGGGGGCTGGTTTAAAACATCTTTTCAGTTTCAACTCTGAAGGCTGCAATGTGGCAGGGACCCTGCAGTGTGCTACAGAGCAGCCGCAGCACTGTTACAACCTTAGATTTCTTGTTTATTCATTTATTTAGTTGCTAGTGTCTGTGTTTGCTCCAGAAGTCTCATTGTTCTGCCTGCCTGCAGGCCGTTGAGGGGACTGGTGGTTCTGGCAGGTGTGGGGTGGGCTGCTGGAGACAGGGCTGTCTAGAAGTGGGCAGTGGGGAGGGAAGCGTTCTTGTCTGCAGCGAGTCCCCTGCTTCTTAGGCTGGAGGGGCTGCTGCCCCTGTGGAAGGGTGCACCAAGTCCCCCCAGGCAGCTCAGGTGTTGCTTTGCCACAGAGGGGCCTGAGATGGGCTGGTGAGACTGCCCTGGTTGTTCTGTGGTGCAGGGCCTGTGCTGGCTCTGCATTGTGCCGTGGCAGTCACAGGGGTGTTTCACACCGGTTCACTTTCTGACTGCGTCTGTATTGGTTTGGTTTTGGGCAGTGAATGAAACTGTGCTTTTCTTAGGGTTTGTAGAAGTGGCCACTTGGAGAAGGAAAACAATGCTGGAGGGATGGTCACCTTCCTACCTTAATTTTTTTGACACAAAGGGCAGCTCCCCAGAGAAGTTGTGATGTTCCAGGGATAGAATTCATTATCCTAAAATCATAGAATCCCAGACTGCTTTGGCTTGCAAGGGACCGTAAAGCTCCTGAATGATGATTTCTAGGATTAATCTGTGACAGACTTTTCATCTGAATTGTATTTGTGGTAGCAAAGCTAACTCAGAAGGTAGTCATGTGGATTTTCTTCCTCCCCTTGTACACAGGTGACACGCCGTATTACAGAGTTACTTCTGACCTGAGTTAACACTGAGTGGGGTTATAAGTTTACAGTGACAGCAGGTCATCTTGGAAGGTTTCAGACAGGCAAGCACTGCTCAGAATGTGTTGGAAAGGGCTTTCCAGAGTTATTTTGCCAAGCTTTGACAGACTTGTGGTTATCCCCTTTCTTGACTTAGAGTTTGCTTTCTCCAATGTTTTGGAAATAATGGGCTTAGTTTTGTTCAAGTTGACTCTTGACCAATGTCTCTTACTTGCTGTGACTTTGTTAGAAATACCAAATCTTCAGAGATGTGGAGACAATTATAGTAATGTTCTTTGCATTCAAAGTTTCGTTATATCCATAATTACACACCTAAGTAACCACTCTAAGGTGCCATAATCAGGAAAACAAAAAATTGTAATTGTATCTTTAGAAATAGTTATCCTTTGAAATAAGTTGATTCTGGATCCAGTTTCTAGGTATAGCATGAAAGGGTTTGTTAGTTAGTATTAGAGTTTAAATATTTGTAAAGAAATTGAGGCTGGTGGATGACTGCAGTCAGCAGAAGTCTACTGCATAGTGAGTGAGGACCTATAGAATAGTTAGGGTTGGAAAGGACCTTAAGATCATCTAGTTCCAACCTGCCTGCCCTGGGCAGGGACACCTCCCACTGAAACACCTATGTTTAATTTGCCTTACTTGGGCAAACTTTAATTTCAGGTAGGTTTCTTTCTCATTTTGATCTAGATGTTACCAAAGAAAAGACTTGTGACCTTGAGATGTAATCCAGACTTATCTCAGGTTTTTGTTTGGTGTAACAGTTTGGTATTTCTTGCTTGCCAGATCAGTATTTAGTATATGGAGACGAGAGAACTGACTATGTGAACAGAATGGGTCCCTACAAAAGTCAGAGCTGTTTGAATTGTACTTGATTTTCTTTCTCCAGGGTTTGAAATTCTACAGCAGATGCTGTCTGAGGAAAGGGTAGTTCCTCACCTCCCACTGGCCACAATCTGGGAATGGCACGTTGGGGTAGCATGCCATCAGACCGGTCACCAGCGTTTGAAGGCTGTCCACTTGCTCTTGAAGGTAGTGCAGTGCAGTGCCCAGAGGTGAGTCGACTGTTCTGTGGTGTGCACTAAAAGGAAAAGTGAGTAAGCTGATATTATTTTGAGGGCAGAAAACCATGATTTGAATAGATAATTTGCCTTTCAGATACAATTCACACTGCCTGATGGATATTTATTATAAAGGGTTATTTTGAAACCATCCTCCTTTTTTTTTTTTTTTCTGGCTTTCTAAAAGAGGTCCAATGAGCTCAAATGTTGTTTTGAAAGGAAAAAAGTATGTATGGCATGGGTGTTCCTCATGAAAGTACACATTCAAAACAATGTTGAGCTCTTAGTGTTTTGCAAATATGGTTCATAGCCACATTAACTCAATAGAAATACTGGAAACACAGACAACAGTGCTGGAACACTGACACTTACCTGGTTATACCTTTTCAGTTCAGAATAAGCCAAATCATTAAAATAACAGCATCTTATAGCTTGCTTTGATAAAGAGAAGTCAAAAAGTATATTCGTGCTGTGATAAAACTGGACAATTACATAAAACCATTTGGCTCTCTGCAAATTTTAGATACATGCAACCAAGTCTGAAAACCTGGCTTTGGGATTTTAATCATGGGTTTATTTCTTTTTCAAGTTCCCTTAGGTGTTTTCATCAGCAAATGTCATCTTTTGTCATGTGGACAACAGATTTAATTGCTGAAAGGCCAAGTCTCCATTGTGCTGGTATTAGTATTTCCTTGTGTTAATCTGATGATACACTCTGAAATTGAGTTTCCCCTTTTCCCTCCCTCCCCCCCCCCCCCCCAATATTTGTCATCCTATCTGTGTAGTAAGTAACATTTGGGTTAGTTGGCTTTAACTCAGGAGTAAGAAGGAGGCAGGGTTGGAATTGTTTTGAAAGCTATAGATGATTTTTTGTCTGCCCTATAGAAGGGCATCACCTGCTTACTGCTGTAGTGCAGTATTGGATAATTTCAATCAATGGAGCTACAGCATTTTGCAAAGTGATGGATACAGGTATTTTCAAGTCCTCATTTCAGGAGGCCACTTAGTTTTACAAAAGTCATTTGGACATATTCATAGATGTGAGGTTTTCTCCACTTCCCCGATTCAGAACGAAATTAATAGTGCTGAAACACTTGACTGAATTTAAATTTTAGAGTAATTCTTGTGCTTCTTCCTTCATTGATGCATCTGTTAAAACTGTATGGTTCTGTTCTCTTGAATTTGTTTGGGGTTCTGTGTTGGGTTTTTTTCCCTCCCAGAAAGAGGCATAAGGTCACGGTCACTCACTGTTTCATTAGAATTAGCTTTTTTCAGGGAGTGTGACCTTACCTTGTTGAAGCCGCTTTGGCAGCTTTTTACCTGTACGGAAAACAACTTGTGTCATGACATGGCCAAGCCTGGGATTCTTCTTCCTCTTCGTCGTGCGCTTGCAGAACTCTTCCTTGTTACAGAAAACAGAGTTAGTGTAAGCAGTTCCTGCACTTGCACCCCTCCTCTCCCCAGTGCCCAGAATGATACGTAGTGCTACATAGTGATACACAGTGTTAAATTAAAAGCAGTTTTCCTTTACCTTGGCAAAGTTCATCAGAGCTTTAGAGCCATTAAATGCTTCAGAAATATTACAGACTTTCTCTTGTGGAGTCTGGCAGCAAATTCTAATAGAGGGGCTATACTGTTGCCATACCCATTGTGGAGCCTTATATAATAGTCATGACTCCTCCTTATGCACTTCAGGCAGCAAGCCCTAAAGCCACTCTTTATTCTGAGAGGAATGCTGCTTTAATAATTAATTTAAAGGTATTTAAATGTGCTTTTCCTTGAGTTGGTTTTGCACATTACGTAGGAACAGTCTGTAATGAACTGATTTCTGTGTTCACAAACCGTGTTCTAGTCAGGGAGAGTCTTATGTGTAGTTCAGATCATAGAATCATAGAATCGTTAGGGTTGGAAAGGACCTTAAGATCACCTAGTTCCAAACCCCCTGCCGTGTACAGGGACACCTTACACTAAATCATATCACCCAAGGCCTCATCCAACCTGGTCTTGAACACTGCCAGGGATGGAGCATTCACAACTTCCCTGGGCAACCCATTCCAGTGCCTCACCACCCTAACAGGAAAGAATTTCCTTCTTATATCCAACCTAAACTTCCCCTGTTTAAGTTTTAACCCATTACCCCTTGTCCTGTCACTACAGTCTCTAATGAAGAGTCCCTCTCCAGCATCCCTATAGGCCCCCTTCAGACACTGATAGGCCCCCTTCAGATACTGAAGGGTTCATGGGGACTACTGTAATGATCAGCATTTTAATGATAATTAGTAGGATGATATCTTTACTAGAAGTGTTGGTGTTCATTGAAGGCTTTGTTGCAGGAGCTTGGATCTCTACAAGAGTATTTGCTTGCCTTAAATACTGAAGATCAACTTCACCGCTGCACAGCACAGGTAGTAAGATTGCACAACCTCAGTGATGTGTGGTTTTGCAATATCTTTCTGACAGGCGGAGATAATGGTTTCTGACTGCCCAGTGCAGTTGTATAAAGCAGAGATAAATGTACTTTGACTTCACAATACCCTGAGAGGCTTCTGAAATACGTGAATGAACTACGCACAAATGTTCTCCTTTCATAGTCAGCTGATGTGCCCCAAAGTGGCTGTTGGGTGTCATCTGGTTTACCAAAGTGACCTCTCAAGTGCCAAAAGGTGGGAATGGGGATGGGGGCTGGTCTTTCAGTAGCTGGAAATGCAGTTGCCTTGCTGGAACTGCCTGGGTACATGACAATTGTTGCACTACTAACTTCTTAGGTTGGAGGGGCTGCTGCCCCTATGGAAGGGTGCACCGAGTCCCCCCAGGCAGCTCAGGTGTTGCTTTGCCACAGAGGGGCCTGAGATGGGCTGGTGAGACTGCCCTGGCTGTTCTGTGGTGCAGGGCCTGTGCTGGCTCTGCGTTGTGCCGTGGCAGTCACAGGGGTGTTTCACACTGGTTCACTTTCTGACTGCATCTGTATTGGTTTGGTTTTGGGCAGTGAATGAAACTGTGCTTTTCTTACGGTCTGTAGAAGTGGCCACTTGGAGAAGGAAAGCAGCGCTGGAGGGATGGTCACCTTCCTAACCTATTTTTTTTTGACACAAAGGGCAGCTCCCCAGAGAAGTTGTGATGTTCCAGGGATAGAATTCATTATCCTAAAATCATAGAATCCCAGCCTGCTTTGGCTTGCAAGGGACCGTAAAGCTCATCCAGTTCCAGCCGCCTGCCACGGGCAGGGACACCATCCACTAGAGGAGCTTACTCCAAGCCCCATCCAACCTGGCCTTGAGCACTGCCAGGGATGGGGCAGCCACAGCTTCTCTGGGCACCCTGTGCCAGTGCCTCAGCACCCTCACAGGGAAGAACTTGTGGCTAAGAACTCATCTCAGTCTCCTCTCTGGCAGGTTAAACCCATGTTTAAAGATTTCAGTTTACAGGTGCAAGCTTGGAGCAACCTGGTCTAGTAGGTGTTCCTGCCTGGCAGGGGCTTGGAACTGAATGAACTTTGAACCCAGAGCAGGTTGGAATTCTGTGGAAAATGGGATTCTGTGATAAATGTAGTTATATCTAGAGTTCTCCAGTAACTCCACGAGAGAAGAGTCAGGCCTGCAAAACCTAGTCATTCTAGGGATGACTGTTACAAGGTCTCCCCTGAGCCTTCTCTTCTCCAGGCTGAACAAGCCATCCTGCTGCAGCAGTCCTACAGTCCCTTCTCATATGTTCTGTCCTGCTTTGAGTTCATGGAAGCAAGTCCTTCCACAAATCACAAGACTTTTGTGGTTTTTAAAAGCCCTTTCTTGAAGACTGAGCAGAGCTAGGAATGAGGCTGGGTGTTTCTCCATCATGCTTGGGCAATCTGAAAACTTCCACTGCCCAGATTCCACTTCTTTCTATATTTGTATAAAATAGTGATATAGTTTGAGCAGGTTCCTTTCAACAACAGTATTTCTTGTTTTCCTTACTAATTTTCTAGCTTTATCAGAACATTGTCTTTTGGGTGGTGGTTCTAGTGCAGCAGTTACCACTTTAAAAATGCACTTTAAATCAGTGGTGATGGGTTACTGCTGTGTGTCAGTGACTTTAGCTCAGGCCCTTTTAAACTGCACTTTTGCAGAAAACCAAGATCTTTTTTGCCTGTAAAGAGTTTCCTAGTGTGAAGTTCCCCTTCCTGCACCGAGTTTCAGCTTCAACAAATAATCAGTGCTTCAAATAAGACAGCTTTCATTTAAGGAGATGGCTTGATAGAACCACACCGATTTGCCAGCTCTGTGTTACTTGGAAGAAAAGCCTTCTGAAAGTCATTTGAGTTTGTGAAGACAACATGACAGCAGACTGGCTTTCGCCAAGCTAATGGTGACTGCACTCTTAGAGGAGGACGGGTAAGTCTCTTTTCTTGTACTTTTTGTGGATTTTTTCAACCACTGCTCTACTTCATCCTTTCATAATTAAATCTTTTGCTCTGTGCTTTCAAAGGCTTGCCTGTAAAGCAGGTTTTGGTGGTGTAGAGATCTGAACTGGAAAGTGTCTCTGGGTTTCTTTCTGGACGTTTTGCCACGATCAAATAGTCGGCAGTCCTCAAAAGCAGTTCACAAGTTGTACTTGTAGAAATTTGATTTATCTTATCTGTTCTGCTTGAGAAACTACAATAGCGTAATAGCTCGCATGGGCACTAAATCCATACATTTTCTGGAGCTTAGAAGGGCATGCTATGGGTATGGCACTGGTAAATGATCAAAACCAGAATACCTTGGATATCCTGGAACACAACATGGGTATGTAGTTGGTAGTGTCCTGCTTCTGTGGCTGAGAGTACCACAGGGTCCCTCAATGCATTCTTTGAATTTCAGTGAAAGGACTTTTAAAGGACTGCTTTTTAGGGACTGTTGTTTCCAGTGTAGAGTTGTGTCCTGGGTTTAGCAGTAGCAGTCAGTTTTTCTCCTTCTTAGTAGCTGGTGCAGAACTGTGTTTTGACTTTCAGCCTGGGAACAGAGCTGATAACACTGATGCTTCCTCTGACCAAGGACTTTGTGAGTCTCATGCTCTGCCAGGGAGGAGGGGAAGCCGGGAGGAAGCAGGGATAGGGCACCTGACCCAAACTGGCCAAAGAGGTATTCCATACCACAGCCCGTCATGCCCAGGGAGGTAACGGGGAGTTACCCGGAAGGGCAGTCTCTTCTCCGTCGGGCTCGTTTCGGCAGGTGGTATCGTATTCAGTAACTACATTATCCAGAAACACCTGGAAGGAGATTAACTGCTTATCTAAAAATGGAAATAAGTAGAAAGTGAAGCACAAAATTGCTTTCTGTACATTCTATACTCTATTTGTCATTGATATGTTCCTTTAAATACAACAATGCTTTTTATTTAGCGATGTGATAATTAGCCTTGAGTCTTGTTTTATATTTTTTGGCAAACATTACTTGGAGGTAAATCCATGCATATATTGCACATGTATTAATTAGGCTGTCTCATTTATTGCAGCTGACAAAAACTCCACCCACATCATTTTAGATGAGACCAATGTAAAAAAAAAAAAAATGCTCAATGTAGAGTAAACCAGAGTAAACCTCTTTCTTGTCTTATTTGCTTTCCAATCTGTTTAAGGAAATCTGAGTTCCTATGGCTCTTGCCTACTATAGATTTTGGACAAATGCATACACATCTCCCTGAAATCAGTGTAGCACAGCATCAATATTTTTTTCCTAATCTTCCACTTTTTCCCATGTACTTTTTCAGACACAGGAACTACACATACATTCTAACTTCCAGAATAAATTGTGTGGTTTATCTATCCATGCACCTCCATATTTGTCATTAGCTCAGAAACTCAAGACCTATAAATTGGATGCCTAAAAATCCTAGAACATTCCATCATGGTATTGTGGGCTTAGACAAATATCTACTAGATCATAAATCCAACAAAAACCTGCTTGTTTTCCTTAAAATGTTCCCTTAAAATGTGATCTTTATCTTTTAAGGTGCAGGTATCCATTTTTACTGTAACCAAGATGTTCAGACAGCCACTGCATGTTTAACAATGTTCCTGTGAAAATCTCATTGTATGAAGAAAAAGATTTCAAATGAGCCAGAAAAAAAAAGTATGTTTGCGTATTTGCTTATCCAATCCATTACTATGCATCTTGAACTAAAATGAGATCTGAAACAGAAATAAGGTTACAGCTTTCCTTCACTTCAGCAGCTGGAAATTTGCACCTCAAGGTGTAAGGAAGATACTTAAAAATAGAGCATCTAAAAGGGCTATGGATTTCTGGCTCTCATTCTTGAGCTCCTGCTTCTTCTGTGGGGCTCCTGTAAGTCCTACCCTCCCGTGCCAGTTATACATGCATATACATACATTTCTGTTTCATATGATGGCTGCAGATAGCCATCTTTAGGCAACAGAATGGTTCTCATCTTCACAGAACCTCACAATATCCTAGTGAATTCCAGAGTTTCTGCAGAATATGCAGCCTTTATTGTTCTTTCTTTAGAACCTTCATCAAAAGGACAACAAGAAAAGACAAAAAGAGAAAAATCTTTCCATTTATTTCAATATAAAGTTTATTTATGTACGTCTACCTTACATTCCTGCAATTACTATTTTTTCCTATCAATACAGTAAAATGTCATAAACTTAATTGAATCCTGTGATCTGTGGTCAGTTCTGTTCCCGATGGAATCAGTGGGAACTCACTTCTTATTTATTATGCCCCCTTTTTTTTTTTTAACTTTGACATCTCTTTCTGTAGTGTATGTTCACACATAAGGGAATTGTGTGATATTTTTTATATTGATAAAATATCAAAGAACATGATTAATAAATTTCTTGTTTGAATTGAATCTAAATTTAGTCTCACATCTGGAATGAATTGTGTGTGCTTACAGTACGTCTTTGTCACTAATTCTTTTGGTGGTGTTTTTAGTGTTTGGACACGATTAATTCATTTGTAAGAAAATGGATATTAAAAAAACTTCTAGAATGTCCCTCTGACAATTCTGGGGGGAAAAAAACAGCTCACCACGGAAGCTAAATTGAAGCCTGTTTCTAGTTTTCCTAATCTATTGATTTCTCAAGGAAAATATTCATCACCTTGGTCATTAAACAGAATGAGTAGCTGGAAATTTGATAAAAAAAGCATTTCTGGGCTTTGATCTCCTTAAGAGAAATGGTGCAAAGTGTCTGAAGTCAATCAGCAGCAAAATGAAAAGGAATCTGCATGAACGTATACTTGAGGCATCATCAGAGCTACTTTTGCATGAGCGCAACTTTCACTGTGTGATGAGCAGCCGGCAGTGGTTAAAGGGCTAAATAATCCTTATTGAGGACGAGCAGTTCTGAAGTTCATGTCCGCCTCAGCTCTCTCTTATAATATAGATAAATCAGTTCTGATGTGATCGCAATTGGAAAGAATCATGTG